CTTTTTGTCCGCAAAACGTGGCGAACGTGCTTTTTGAAGCTAGCCAGACATTTGGCCGACCACAGGCATCAGTGCGGAATCACAGGGGCTTTAACCTGGATATTCAACGGTCGCTGTGACGACAACATTTGTCAGCCTGGAACATGAACCGTCAGCGGAAACTTTCCCTTCCAGAATGCCACGATTGGGTTGTCAGGACGCGATAGCGCACACGGAAGTCTTAGAACGGGCCATAATCCTCAGCATCTAAGTCATGCTAGGGAAACTGCATCTTTGCCAGAGCAGTTACCTCGCAAAAAGTGTGGAAGAGCATTAACAAAAGTGTCTCCTCTATATGAAGGCAGTAGTCTTGATATAACGACTTTTAAATAATACATGAGTAGAATGTCTTTCAAGAGCATGTGAAAAATTTCATATAGTAATCTGCAGTTTTTTAAAGCCCTAACAATGATATTGAAATAACGTCATGTACCTTTTGTACTTTTAGGGCGCTGTTGACGACGATGATAAGGTTGCTTTAAGTTCTGAGTGAAAAGGTCACAGAAAAGGGGTTTTTATGTTCCAACTGCAAGGTGCTGTCCGTTCTTAGATATCGGTGTAAAGACTTTATGTAAGCGAGGGGCAAAGTCAAAACATCTTTTTCAGATGTTAGAAAGTTGTGACGGAGGAAACGTGCAAAATGGAAGACAGCGTTCAAATAAAGAGCGAAAGGCGTGTTAGTGACTTTGAATTTTAAACAATTAGGGAATGCAATACAATTCATCTAGATACAGGCGTTTTGGATCTATAAAAAGCTTCCTTTAAGTAAAGGTAAATTGTTCGCGAATTTCTACTTTCTTAGTCAACGTAGTAAGACGTTAGTTTTTACAGTTTATAATTATAAAGTATTTCTATTTAAAATATATTTCGGATTTTCTTCTAATTTTTGAGTTTATTGGACGTGAAATTTAGTGCAGGTGGCGGGTTTGGGCATATCTGCGGCACAAATTTGCAGCATACTATATTGGCTCATATTTGCCAGCCGCATCAACGCCTTCAAACAAAAGCCACTGATCGATGCCTTGATGGGCGTGGGTAGTCACATGATGAACAGTCAACTTGTTACTTTCTCCTGCTGCAAAATATAATTCAGACCTGCGCAAACAACACTCCAGCCGGCTACGCGCTTGCTTCTAAAGGCACATACTATCCTGACCCATAGCAAATTGTTAACCCATGGCAACCTCCCAATGTACAAAATAAATCATACTTTTTTAATCCTTGGGATCCGCTATTGAACGTGATAATTTTTTTCATGTGCCATTTGAGTTGGTCTAAGAAATTTCTTCTCCTACAGACAAACTTAAGCAAACTGCCTCGGAATTCAAGGAATTATGCATCAGAAATGCCGGTCTGCAATTAAATTTTCACTCATGTCAATAACCCACATTTTTATACTTTTATTTTAACGGCCCTCGCCAAAATGGTTTGCGGACAATCGCCTAAGTTAATCACTATTTACTAAATTAAAAGTCGCAACGTAGGTATTTGGGGTGTTTTCAATGAATTGAATAATGTCCGAAGTAGTTGATTTTTTTGAAAACCTGTATGAGATAGTATGCTAATCATGAATGACTTATACCTAAATCAAAACGAAAAACAGCTGTTTAAATCGCCACGCTGTCCGTCAGAATTAATAACAAAGTTAACAAATGTGGGAGCAAGTAAAATGCGAAACTTCGACCTAAATAGGAAGATCAAAATTTGGTGTATATGCAGACTATCCATGAAAATATCGGTGGACATTAAATTTTTGAATAACTTCTTGCCGTACGTGTGCAATGATCGTCCTCCAAAATTGGAATTATTTAGGGTCCGTCACATCGGTAAGCGCAGTAATGCGTTTTCACCTTGCATATCCAGATGTACAGTTAATAAGTGCAAAACAGAGTGCGTTTGGCTTTGCTGAGAGAGATTCCAATGTGCCATAAATTTCAATCACTTCCCATGCACACATGGTAGTCAGTTATAATTAAATGCCAATGGATTTCGCAGATGTAATCTCATGCGTAACATGGTTAGCGTATCAAATGATATTTTGTTAAGCAAAGCCGCGGTGTATCTTTCGTGATAGTGGGGTCCGCTGCGTTGAGGAGTATCCTTCAAATATTAGTAAATACTATATAATTGCTGATAGAAGCGAAGATGCGCTATATAATGCGCATATAATATATATTTGTTAAGAAGAGTTGGGTTCTTTTAAACAAGAGGGTTTTTTGCGTAAATTTTCAACGCTGGTTCCCCAGGTCGTCGTCAGATGCCAACGGAAAGCAAATGTGAAAACAAGCAAGAGTTAACGTCACGAGTGCACGTAAAATCGATAGTTGCATGGCCTGTGCGCCGGTTGGCGGTCGCCGTGTGCCGGCTTACGCTGGTTGGCCCTTTTCTCTATCATTTCTCCTTCAGGTTTCTGTACACGGCATTCAACTCGATATGCCGGTTGATGCATGACTTATCAGAGTACATTGCCTCCAGGAATTCACGGCCTTCTTGAAAGGGCAGACAGCGACAATGTGAGCATTGTCCCAAGCGAATGTTTGCCTGGTTTATAGAGTATGCATGGCTACCTGAGACAGATGGTCTTGCCATTTTACAGCCAACTGGTGCTCGTGGATGCATGCTTAAGGCGGATTTTCCGTCTTGCCACAATATACGGCAGCGCATGCATCACACAGGATCTCGTAGAAGACCTCCTTCTTTTTAAGCTGGTTAACCCTATCCTAAAGATGTATATATATATATATATATGTATATTTATATATAGGCAGAATGATATAACTGACAAAGACAAGGAAGACTGGAATGGCCATTTCTGGCTTATTAGCCGTCGTCAGCCAGCCATACCCAAGCCCGAAGTGTGGAACACCCGAGCCTCGAACTCGGGACCTGTTGGTTTAGAAGTCCACGCCTCTACCATCCGGGCCACGAACACGTTGCTTTGTCGGTTTTCGATCGGAAATATACAATGAGAGGGGGCGGCTGCTGGTTGGGCTCGAGAGAGAGCCCTTAAGGCACAACGGAACGAATGAGTTCCGTATGAACGATCGGTGAGCGACCCCCACCATTATATATATTTATATGTAACTATTGAAAGGTTGGCATCTCAAGCGATATAAGTTAAAAAGAGATGGGTTCTGTGGGACAAGAGGGTTTATTGCGTAAATTTTCGACGCTGGTTCCCCAGGTCGTCGTCAGACGCAAGCGGAAAGCACTCTTGACGTTAGCTGTTTCTCGCATTCACATTTGCTTTCCGCTTACGTCTGACGACGACCTGGGGAATCAGCGTCGAAAATTTACGCAATAAACCCTCTTGTCCCACAGAACCCATCTCTTTTCAACATATATATATATATATGTTGAGAAGGTGATACCGACAAAGATAAGGGAGACCGGAATGGCCAATTCTGGCTTATTAGCCGTCATCAGCCAGTCATACCCAACCCCAAGTGTGGATCACTTGTGATTCGAACCCGGGATCTTTGGTCATGGAGTTGAATGTTCTACCATTGAGCCACGGGCCCGTTGTCCTGTCGGTTGTGATCGGGAATATTAATTATGATAGTGGGCGCTCACCGATCAGGTTACGGAACATGCTCGTTCCGTTGTGCCTTGGGGCTCATACTTAAACCCTCGCAGGCAGTCGCACAGCGACTAGTGGTATATGTTGAGAAGGTGATACCGACAAAGACAAGGGAGACCGGAATGGCCATTTCTGGCTTATTAGCCGTCATCAGTATGAGCCCCAAGGCACAACGGAACGAGCATGTTCCGTAACCTGATCGGTGAGCGCCCACTATCATAATTAATATTCCCGATCACAACTGACAGGACAACGGGCCCGTGGCTCAATGGTAGAGCGTTCAACTCCATGACCCAACATCCCGGGTTCGAATCTCAAGTGATCGACACTTGGGGTTGGGTATGACTGGCTGATGACGGCTAATAAGCCAGAAATGGCCATTCCGGTCTCCCTTGTCTTTGTCGGTATCACCTTCTCAACATATATCACTAGTCGCTGTGCGACTGCCTGCGAGGGTTTAAGTATGAGCCCCAAGGCACAACGGAACGAGCATGTTCCGTAACCTGAACGGTTAGCGCCCACTATCATAAAATATATAAAAATATATATATATATATATATATGTATATATATCAATATGCGTGAAGATCCGAGGTCCAGATATATTACCTTGTATATCATCCCCCTAGGAAGACGAAGAAGAGAAATCGATTTCATGGACCAGGTTGTATTCAGACTGACGTTTCGGAAACACACTCGTTTCCATCATCAGAGTCGTGCACTGACGTTTCCTGCTGGCCTTGATCTGTTCAGCCTTGCCGCCTGCCTCGTATTATAACCGTGCACAGCGCACGTTTGTTGACTAGCCTGCTTTCCGTTGGCTGATTGTCGCCTCCCTAATCTCAGCCATTGGTGGACTGGCGTGGCTTGTGTCCCCATCACGCCTAACGTGGTTGCCGCGGCGTCGGCGTGCTCGTTCGCCTCACCCTCGTCAGACGGCGGGCTGATCGGTCTTTGTTTCTCAGGCGTGGTGTTTCCGGCCTCGCGAGTACGTCCGTGAGACGGTGTGCCACGCCGGTCACGTGACATTCGGTAAGCGCCTTCTCCTCTCTCCGCGAGCGTCGGCGGTCGACCCCGTGTGGCTCTGCTCATCCGTGCCTTCGGCCCTGCCTGGACTGACTCGAGTCTTGCGCCCAAAGACCCGCTCCCGGTGACAGAACAATCAGCGGTGGTCTACAGCATACCATGCCAAGATTGTGATGCCAGGTATGTTGGTGAAACGGGAAAACGCCTCGGCACAAGATTGCACGAGCACCAGCTAGCAATCAACCGCAAGGATAAGCTGTCGTTGGTGTATGGCCACACACTAGAGCGGAATCACTGTTTTGCCTTCGAGAAAGCAAGTGTGATCGGCCGAGCCAATGATAAAATGGCCAGACTAATGCTAGAAAGTTGCTCCTCGACTGGCACACTCAACCGGGCCATAGACCTACATCCAGCCTACCAGGCGCTCCACGCAAGACTCGAGACAGTCCAGGCAGGGCCGATGGCACAGATGAGCAGAGCCACACGGGGTCGGCCACCGACGCTCGCGGAGAGAGGAGAAGGCGCTTACCGAATGTCACGTGACCGGCGTGGCACACCGTCTCACGGACGTACTCGCGAGGCCGGAAACACCACGCCTGAGAAACAAAGACCGATCAGCCCGCCGTCTGACGAGGGGGAGGCGAACGAGCACGCCGACGCCGCGGCAACCACGTTAGGCGTGATGGGGACACAAGCCACGCCAGTCCACCAATGGCTGAGATCAGGGAGGCGACAATCAGCCAACGGAAAGCAGGCTAGTCAACAAACGTTTGCTTGGGACAGAACACGGATTGTCGGCGCCTGCCCCTTCAAGAATGGCCGAGAGTTCCTTGAGGCCATGCACTCGGATGAATCGTGCATCAACCGTCACATCGAGTTGGACGCCGCGTACAATAATACGAGGCAGGCGGCAAGGCTGAACAGATCAAGGCCAGCAGGAAACGTCAGTGCACGACTCTGATGATGGAAACGAGTGTGTTTCCGAAACGTCAGTCTGAATACAACCTGGTCCATGAAATCGATTTCTCTTCTTCGTCTCCCTCGGGGGATGATAAAAACGATATATATATATATATATATATATATATATATATATATATTGAATAACTGATGTGGTGTGCATTCCGAGATGATAC